AATTTAACTAAAAATTAAACATATACGAAGAAAAGTTGGGTTTCAAGGAATCGCTTGTTTCATAATTGTTACGTGAAGAGATTCGAAGGTCGGTTCGTCCGTCATATGACGAACATCATCAGAGCAAGGTATCATCATGGCAACAAAATTCAAGCTAACGAGTCAAGAAAACTCACTCCCTAAAAAGTGGTATATGAATTTTCTCAAAAATTCAAAAACATACATACATACATACACACTCACATTCACCGAAGTTGGCATACTTTATGCTTTATACTTGATCAAAGAGGCCAGATGTAGAGTATAGATACCACTTTTTTGGGATTTTCCGGTGAGTTTTCTTGACTCATCAGCATAAATTTGGTTGTCATGATGATACCTTTTCACCGGAATCGAAGGGTCAGCATGAATGTTTGAGTAAAGCCAATCGATAGCTGGTCAAGAGGAATCGGCCGTCGTCTTCTGGCCAAACTGACCTTCGAATCTCTTCACCCAACACTACCACTCGAAATGAAAGTAAGCTGAACAATTAAAAATTAAACAGCCATTTATTCTTCTGTTGCTTATGATATACATACTTTTACATATACTTTAACAGTAGTCGCAAAGGTGATTAGGGGCATGCATAATTTGTCTCATATTTTTTGTTAGAATGGGACAAATGTGTAATGTTTTATTACATATTTGGCGAAATCATACAGTATTTTAAGCCTATTTTTCGTTTTATAAGTAGGTTTCCGAGGTTTCTAGTACATCCTATATATGAGGTGCATTCACCCTTTTTCATTTAAGGTAATAGTATGAGTAGACCCCATGCTTCCATTGCATTTCACATAGATTTGCTTCTGCAAAAACCATTGCAGTTTCGATCTCGCCTAGGTCTCATCAGCACCACCAGCCGGACTCGAACCGTGCCAGTGTAACGTTTAATCTCAAATTCTGAATTTGCTTATTTTTTCTTTTGTAAGTAGGTCAATCGCTACAGCAAACATAACTTGGCGTCATCGACAATCCCACCACGAAATTTGATATGGGAAAATGACTTGCCTTTTGTTGAAATGTACATCTGCCCCATGACCCAAGCGTAAGGGCTATTCATATTTTAAGTCTTTTTCACATAAAAATGTAGATGCCTTTTAGAAATATCACCAAAATCACATCATCAAACGATTTAGGCAAGACGTTCCAAATTTGCCAATTAAACAGTTTTAGATACCCGTACCTTTTTCAAGTCAGCATGATCCACTGCTCCCAAAAATCTCCGAAGCACGAGACCATCTCCGTTTTCTTCATCGCCTTCCACTCCGTTAGCAGCCTCTCGTTTTACCATAAATGTACCAAAATCACCGGTAATGGTAGCGGACGACTCAATTGAAAGTTGCCTCTTCTGATGGGCCGCTTCACCGCTGACAAATTTCATATGATGCACTGATTCCCCTAAAAGTTCCGCCTTCGAGTCCCAGTCGTCCGTGATTTCATCTCTTTTTTCAATGATTACAATATTATCTGACTTTTCTTCATGATAGGCATTGATGAAATATGCTGAATTAACTTCTTTTGAATGATTATCCTCACTGAAACATGACTCATGCTCATGAAGCATTGATGTCTGGTCATTGTACCCTTTTTTTCCGTTGCTCCATTTCTCGTGCCTTAGTAACCGTTCTTCTTTTAGTTTAAGTCGGAATGCTTCTAGCAGCACGTGATTAGTTTCTGGCTGCTTCTCACCATCTTCATCGTCCTCCCTTTCTTCATTCTGCTCAGCCTTCTTTTCTTTCTCGTCCTTGTCCACTTTTTCTGCACCCATTTTCAACTTTGTCTCCTTTCTTCTTTCCCTCTTCCTGGCCGTCCTCTTTTCTTCCTCAACTGGCCTCTCCATTTGCCCCTTTGCGTCATCAGAATCTGCAGCTTCACTCTGCCTTTTCTTCAGCTCACTCGACTCGTCTTCTCCTTCCTCTTCCTCTTCTTCCGCCTCTTCTACTTCTTCTTCTTCTTCTTCTTCCTCCCTCTCATTCGCCTCTTCCAATGCTGCGTCTTCATATCTATCTCCTGCAAGTTCCCCAAGACCGTCAACTATTTTCTCCTCTTCCACTTCATCCTCCTCTTCATCCTCCTCTTCATCCTCCTTCCCAGCATCATTGTCATCCCATTTCAAGACTCTCGTCGATCCGGTATTGCCAACTGGCAAATTCGTTTCAATCTTCATCTTTTGTCTGAAACGGTTCGACTCCTGATCCTCGGCCACTTCATCGACAGATTCGAATACCGGACAGCTGAGCTGAAGTCCTGGCACTCCTGCCATGTAGCTGATCCTGTTGCCGGCCAAGTGGGACAGACACACGGGTCGACCGTGCCGCAGACCGTAGCGGTCTCCGGGTCGCAGGCGGTAACCACAGTGACTACAGACGAAGCATGCGGCATGAAAGACACCACACGAGTTGCCAGTCCGCTGAGTTCGCAGCACAAGGTCACGTGGTCCGATGCTGCGTTGACACTGAGCGCAGGCTATGGGCCTCGGCGAGTTGACAACCCTTTTTGCTGTTGTCGTGGCAACAAGAGCTGGCGCTGTACCGCCGAATTCCTCCGCCACAAAAGCACCGGGTGAATCAGACAGGGAAGGAACAGTGGCCACCGTTGCCACAGCGACAGGGGCGCCATCAGAATGCGACATTCCAAGGTTGATTAACGAATCGGACGTGGTGGCAAGGCCGGATATCGGTGGCACGTTGGTAAGAAGCTGGACTGATGTTGAGGCGATGGGAGTAGTAAATAGGCTAAAGAGAAAGGGAGCAAAATATAAAAAAACCACATATATAAACTATATTATACCATACTATACTATACTATACTATACTATACTATACTATACTATACTATACTATACTATA